ACACCATACCAAAACCATAAACTTTATGGTTTTGGTATGGTTTGGATATGGTTTTGGTATGGTTTGCAGCTCCGGGCCAATGAAAACTTAGGAAAATCAATGGATTTGGCTGCTTTCGCTAGGAAAACCATAGAAAACCATTGTTTTTTCAATGGTTCTGCTACCAAATTCCATAGAATTCCATTGTTTTTGATTGAAGTTCATTGATTTCCATTGATTTTTCTAGGGTGGAGGAGCAAAACCATAGTAAAACCATATTTACACCATACCAAAACCATACCAAGACCATAAAATTTATGGTTTTGGTATGGTTTGGGTATGGTTTTGGTATGGTTTGCAGCTCCGGGCCAATGAAAACTTAGGAACATCAATGGATTTGGCTGCTTTCGCTAGGAAAACCATAGAAAACCATTGTTTTTTTTCAATGGTTCTGCTACCAAAACCATAGAATTCCATTGTTTTTGATTGAAATTCATTGGTTTCCATTGATTTTTCTAGGGTGGAGGAGCAAACCCATAGTAAAACCATATATGAAAACCATAAAACAAACCGTAAAAAAACCATAACAAAACCATAGTGAAACCATAAACCAAAAACGCAGACAGCACCAGACCATACTGATTCCATAAATGCAAACCGTATTGAAACCATACTGAAACCATAAAAGAAATTACCCAAGGATCTGTGCCATAGGCTGCAAAAGATTCTCTCAAAGCTAGAGAAAGCCATGTTGACCAAGGCGGATTACCCATTTCAATGTGCTTGCCCAGGGCGGAGGCCACGCTACAGCAGGTCATTAATGCCTGGTATCGCGAAGGGGAGTACAATGCACTCACCTATACGGATGGAGTGGTTGTGATTCAGCTTGGCAGGTTCGTGAACGGCCGAAAGAATATGACTCCCATCTCGGTGGAAGAGGCCTATGGCTTCCATTTTTCGCTGAGGGCATCAACGTTACTTGGGAGTTGTTTCGTGTCACGGCAATGCAGGTGCATCTAGGACACAGTCCACATCAGGGCCACTATCGCAGTCTGCTGCGTGTCGGCGGCTCGTGGCTTTATCAGGATGATGGACGGAGGGCTGAGCCAGTCTGTTTCAGTGCCATACACAAGCGTCATGGATACTTGGTATGGCTCCTCAAGTCCAGTGCGTAGCTCCTTGACCCTTTCGGTCATGGGGGATGCCATGCAGGAGGCTGAGCAGTTCTTCTTTGATCTTTACATGCCCCATGGTAAACCGTCGGATGCAGATCTTGCTACTGAAGTGCCTTCCTCTGAGATCTCGCGAGAATCTGAAGCCAGAGGGGCCAAGCTAGCTCGTATGGCAGCGAATGGCAATCCTGGGGATAAGGGAGGTCAGGGCAAGGGCCGAAATGGGTATGGAGACCGCAAACGAGGTGCACAGCCTTGGACATACAGGGGAGGCCAACAAGGCGAGTATGGACACTGGGATCGTCGGCACTGGCAGGGACATGACAAATCGGAGGCGGACATCCAGCAAGCTCTGCATACATTGCAGAAGCTTGTGCTTCGGCATGAAGACTTGTCATCTTTCTTCGGATACATGCTCACAGCTCTGTTGTCCAACCCTTGAACAAGGCCCAGCAAGAATGGCGCCGGCTCAAGGCGTCTGACCCCTCTAAGCTGACACATCCGATGCGCTCGACTCTTCTTCTCTGCTTGTTCCGTGAGCTCGGCCAGCGCCTTGAGAACATCAAGAATGCAGCGCAGGAGGATTGACCTTGAAATGGCTGCCACGGACAACACGGACAACCCGACGTGGGCCTATCTCAGATGGTGTGCAGAACGTCAGCGCTTGGAGCCGGAGTCCGGGCGCGCAGGCTTGTCGTATCTCAAGGCCATTGAGGCGGTGCAGGCGATTCTGAGGCTGGTGGCTGTAGAGGGGGCGGTGGTCGCTTTCCATCCCAAGCGGCCGCTGACACCGCAGATGTCAGGGGAAACCCTGACTTGTGAGCTTCAAGTGGGCACCCGGAGCAAGGAGGCTGCTGCCCTTCATGAATACCTTACGCTTCTGAGCAACTCGGCAGCGACGCAGCTGATTGGTGCCAGCATCCGTCCCGAACAAATGCAGCGATCGGCAGTGGCGCAGATTGTCTCCAAGCAGCTCGGGTGAAAGCAGTGAGGGCAGAGGCACGTTGCACCGGATCCATCGGCCACTACATGCAGGAAGGTGGCGACGGCGGCAGTGCTCAGGGGCTTAACCTCCGGGTTGGCAATGGGTGAACCCTTCCGAAGTGAAGGCACCAAGGACTCAGCCAATGGCTGAGGCTTTGGCTATGGCGGCTATGGCTTGTTTCTCGAGTTGTGCAGACGCGTTTCCTCGGGGATGAACGGGGTGCAATCTCGCGCTTCGGAAAGAAGCACAGACCTCTGGCAACAGGATTGTGAGTTGTGGCTATCCGTGTGCATCGTGGTCATCACATTCCGGGCTGCAGTAACTGTGGTAAAGCAATGGCCAGGACTGATGTACCGGATGATGGCCGTGAGTAGTGCTGTGAACCAGGGATACCGCAATGTGTATTTTCTCAACCCCACGAAAGATGAGTGCGCAAAGCCGCCCACAGCAAAGGACTTGGGAGGCAGCGCCGAAGCATCCTGATTGAAGGCATCTCCACGATCCAGGTGTCGGATGGCAGCAAGTCAAACATGTCCTGGAGTGTAAGCCAGGAGACTTCACCCTCCCGCAACGCATTTTGAGCCTGCAGTTCTATGTCCCCCACTGGAGCCACATCTGGAATGAAATCATCTGCAACCCTGAAGGAACCAGTCTGAAAAGCGGGCCAAACTGCCATGGAAGTCTCATTATGCATGGAAGCTGGCGTGGTTGCAATGCTCCGCACGGAACCTTGCACTGCATACGGATGAGTCTCTCGGGAGTCGCGTGCCGGCGCAGATCGAAACATTGGCACTGGCGCGTGGCAGCAAATCCGTATGGCCTTGCTGACTGTCCTGTATATTGAGAGGCTGGTTAACAGGCATCCAACTAAGGCATCGAGTCAGCTCACCGCAGCTCATGAAATCAGAGCAAGCAAATCTCATAGGAGCATCCTCAACTGGCAAATCTTT